TGTTTCGGACATTTTGATTCAGGGACTTCTCTGGTGACCGTTACTGGTCTTCTTTGATTTCCAAACGTCTTTTTTCCTGTTTCTGACTCAGTAGTTTCCCGAGGTCCAGATGCCTTTTAGGCATCCGAAGGGGAATCCCTGCGGTGGCCTCGGAAGGACCCTTCGGAAGGGTCCTTCCGAGGCTACCGCCGGCATTTTCCCCCAGCTGAGCAGCGGGACTCCCGCTCAGCTAGGGGAAAATGCCCCCTCCGAAGGGGAATCCCGGCGGTGGCCTTGGAACGACCCTTCGGAAGGGTCCTTCCGAGGCTACCACCGGCATTTTCCCCCAGCTGAGCAGCGGGAGCGGTCCTTTGGAGGCTCCCGCCACTCAGCTGGGGGAAAATGGGGCCCATGGGGAAAACATCGCAAAGCGATTTTTCCCCATAGGCAACATCGCAAAGCGATGGCAAAAGAGATTGCTTTTTTGCCATCGCTATGCGAATTCATCGTTAACCGGGGCACTCGTTAAACGAGGCACCACTGTACATTGATCTGCCCCAATGTGAATAATAGTCTCTGTAAAGCGCCATTACCAAAATGCAGCCTCTCTAGCCACTCCCATCTCCCTCAGCACCTCAGTCAGGGGCCCTTCCTGGCAGTCTCCCCTCCTTCTTCATACTGTGCCATTTTGATGCCCTCCTCCACCACTGCAGGCTAATAATGGCTCCTCTCCTCTCTGGCCAGCCCAGCAACTGAGTCCAGCCATACTGGCTCCTCTCTCAGTCTCTCGGGTAAAATGCCCCCACCGGCCATGGACACCTACTGGGATATGTGTGTGTGTGTCTATGTGTGGGGGGGCAACAGTAAGTGTGAACATTTTGCCTGCCTTGAAAATCCTGTTGGGTGCAACTTGACAGATACAAGAAGAATGAAAACACATATAACCCCCCCCAGCACCTCATGGTATATATTTGAGTCTTTAAAGCATCAGGGTGTGTTGGGGACTGTCTAAAATTTAAATCTCGATTTAGAAGTTAAATCCATGCATAAAAACTAAACTGGTTTACGTCTTCTGTCTAAACAGCATTTCTTCAATCCTTTGATGTCTACTCAAGTGACCGCTCTGACTGAAGCACTTTCCACGTTCCGTACATTTATATGGTCTCTCCTCTGTTCAAACAGTCTGTTTTCAAATGATTTACAAAAATCTTCAGGAAGACCCAAATCCTTAGCTATTCACACAAAAATGGACTGTTTGGGCTCCAGAAACATTTAGGTCACTGTCTGAGACCTGCGCCCTTCGTTGGGTCTGCTTTGGAGACCGACTTTTGGAACAAAACAGAAGGACTAGGAGGGAGCGAGGCCTGGGGAGGACTGCTCTGACTGAAGCTCTTTCCACATTCCATGCATTTATATGGTCTCTGTTTCGAACATTTTGATTCAGGGACTTCTCTGGTGACCGTTATTGGTCTTCTTTGATTTCCAAACATCTTTTTTCCTGTTTCTGATTCAGTTGTTTCCCGAGTGTTCTTACCATTGTGTTCTTTACCTGAGTGAAAAGGAAGTCAATGTTTCAGTGACAGTGGATCATAAAGAAAATATAGAAGGATCCACACAGGGGAGCAATGCTTTACGTGAATGGAATGTGGAAAGAGCTTCTGCTGAAGTGACGGTCTACATTCCCATCAAAGGACACTGGGGAGAAAACACATCAATGCATGGAATGTGGAAAGACCTTCACCTGCTTTGAAATTCAGGGCTTTCTGGTTATGAAATAACAAACATGCTTATTTATTTATATCCATGTGTAGTAAGGCAGGTTATGAGAGTGGTGAGATTCCTTTTGGCCTCCCCGGCGTAACCCACATGGAATAGCCCAGTCGTAGGAGCTGGAGGCTAGGTCACCTCACTGTTTTTCATGGGAAACGAGGTTGGGAAGGGAAGTGGGGATGGGTGGTAGGTAGAAGAGGAAGAGAGAGGGAGGGAATGGGGCAAAATTGGGGGAGATGATAGAGAAAATCCTGTTTTATAAGGTTCCAGTATGAGTAATTAATATTCTCTTAATATTTTTGACATAAAAAGAATATTAATACTGTAGTATAGATAGCTGTTTATAGCAAAATGTTTCATTGTTCAATATAAAGTGAGACCCTCACATCACCGGGATTGTTATCCACCATTTTACGATAGCTGTTTATAGCAAAATGTTTCATTGATTGTTATCCACCATTTTACTTATCTGCTGTCTGGTATTATTAAAAAGACTTTTTTTAAATCCCTGAAATACAGTGGTGCCTTGCTTAGCGGCCGCCCTGTTTAATGATGAATCCGCATAGCGATTAAGTTTTTGCGATCGCAAAAGCGATCTAATTGCGATGATTTAAATGGGAAAAAATTGGTTTGCAATGATCAGTAAGCTGTTTCACTTATTAATTTTTGCATAGCAATGTTTTCCCAACAGCTGATCGGTGGTTCCAGAATGGCCGCTGGGTAAATATAATGGCCACCCGCTATGTTTTTGCCCAGATTCCTCGCTTACGGGGCAGCGAAAATGGTGGCCGTATGAAGGATTTTCGCATTAAGGTGGGTTTTTTCCCGAAGGCACCTGCTCTTTGCTTTGTAGTAGTTCCTGATGACAAAAGTCCTGCATCTTCATTAGTCAAGGGTAAATAGACATGGAATAATGAGATCAGTTTCTGGATTAATTGAACATTCCACTGCCAGTCTCCTCATTCTTAGTTTTATTTTAATTTCAGTAGTCTTTGGAGAAAAGCCGATCACCCAGAGAGTGAGATATTCAGCTGAAAAAGCCTGGGAGCATCGGCGTGCACGTGCGCATGTGTGTGTGTACGCATGCGTAGGGGTGATTGGGGAACTGACTCAAGTGAGAAGAGCAAAGGTGCTGTCAAAAGGTTCAAATGGAGTTTTAGGCGGTTCACCGACGTAAGCAGCAATACGAGGAGTCTGAACTTCCAAAAGAGAATGATTTTTATTAGCTTGTAACAAAGGGGTGTCAGCTATAACTTCCATAGGCACCAAAGTGTCCCAATCATACAATCCAACCAGCTTTCCTCGTGTGTTTCCTAAAAACATTGAGCAGAATTACTTAGAGTTTTCAAAGGGGAAGGAGTATCATTTCAAACATTATTTAGATTCGGCCGAGCAGAGAAAAGACAACTATCTGCTCATCCCAGCGGGTGGAAGTGATGCCCTCAGCCATGCTTTATTTCTGTTGAAATGGATCTTCCATTAGAAGAGGGAAAAAATTCTTTAAATGTTTAAGGTACACTTTGGGAGATTATAAAAACAGTTTTCTGATGATGGAGGGAGAGGAAAGTCAAGGGAATCTGGAATATTCTGAAATGAAGAAAATAATAAAAACCTTGAACCTTCATGTATTGCTCTGGATGTTTTCAGATGGTTCCATGTATGAAGAATTTGAAAAATCTGTATTTGAAAATTTGAAAAGTTTTCCTGTAGGAAATTCATGGTATTAAGTGTGTGTCACTAATGAGGTGAGCTGACCGCTATAATTAGGAGTAATTAGGCACTCTGGATGTTCATAGTGGGATATAAATAAGGGAAGAAGTTCCAAATCTTTGTTGTTGCTGTAGTTTAGTTCAGGATGAAATCAAGATTAAAAGCTAGACGTGTGTATAAGGACCTGGTTGGCTTCCGTGGTTGTGAATGTATTGGGAGGAAATCATGGACTAACCTCCTCAAGTTTGTCCTTAAATACAGGAGAAGGAAAAATGAGCAATAAGTGAGAACATTTTTTTTCTTTAACAGGAGAGAGAGAAAGGATAAACTAATAACCAGAAGAACAAAATACCCAAGCTGATCATGTTACTCACCAGTTACTCATCTCCCTGTCTACATCTGATGCAAACATTACTGTTGTTTTTAACAATTCTGAGCATTTTTCCCAGAACTTTTGATTACTGTTATTTTCAAGAATTCTGAGCATTTTTCCCAGAACTTTTGATGCTTGGGGAAAAAGATTTGAAATTCAAGCTACCGCACGACACTCAAACTTTCATGCAGCTTATCCAGCGCATATTATCAATAAAAAGTACTTTGATGTTAAAATTTATAATAAACTAAAAGCGTAAGCCTGCGCTGTTTCAACAGACTTTTTTTGAAGAATTTCTTTTAATCAGGACTGAATTTTTGCTTCAACACAAATGGCACACTTGAAAACACTGTGTTTTTTCCACACAAAGATGGCCATTTAGTTTCTACAATATGTGAAAGCCATTCTTGCTTTAAACTGAAGCAAGCTTTCTGGTTGGTTAGATTTCCTGGTCTCTTCACATGTTCTCTTTGACATGATGACATAAATTGTATCTTAATATATAGCCTAATGTGGTAGCAGCTTTTTTAAAAAAATCCTTCTAAATAAGTCATCAACCCTGCCCCTCCACTATTGTCATTTTGAGGGCTTCTTGGAAGTAGCCACTGACAGCACCAAGTGAGGAGGAAATGCACGTGATGTCATTATTTTGGGGGAAGACCCCCCTGGATACAGAACGGTATCCAGTGCAAACGATGGTCATTTTTCACTAAAGTAGGCCTATCCTCAGTTTTGGGAAGTGAGTAAGTGATGGAAATGTGTGGTGGCCAAAACCATCTCATTGTGCAGCTTAAAATGGAGGGCACACCCATACAGTTGACTGTATACCCCGTGCCGTTTGGGAGGAGGGAACACTGGTCCTGAGAGATTCCTTGCCCAGCCGGACTGGGTGAAGGTCTCGGTCTGTGTTTTTGTTGAGAGAGGAGTAACTTTGGGCATTCCCTGCGTCAAGAACCGTGCCATTTTTGAGGGATCCGTTGAAAACAGTAGGTCATTCTGCTGCCTCTCTCTTCCTCCCCCCCAAGGAAGAAGGCGAAGAAGAGGGTCTCTGGGTGGGGAAAGGGATCTACGGCGCTACCACTTAGAAAGCTGTGTTTTGTTTGTGCTGACAGTCACTCTCAGAATTCCGAAGCGACCTCATTGTGACACCTCAATGGTTCCCCAGGTGGTGACGGCGGTTCTTGCTTGCTTGGAGCCCTTCCGTGCCAGCTTCGCTCGGGGAAAGGACCGCAGGAGGTGCAAGGCAGGGAAAATGGGATGGCGTGAGACCAGAGGGGCATGGACGCTGGCCCTCTTACTGGTCTTGCTCCTCAACCTTCTGGCAGAGCCCTTGCACTCCACTAAGGAGGGCATCTCTCTAGAAACTGTGATCTCGGCCGCTGTAGTAGAGTTGCTGAAAGCAGAGGAAGACATGAAGAAGGGTGAGTGGCTCAAAACCTTTTGAGCCTGCTGGGGGGTTGGCAGGCTTGGAGAGGAGCCAACAATGGCAGGCTGCAGAGATTTGGGTGATGGGAGTGGCGTCAAATTTGCAGATGCTTTGGCTTGACCCGGCAAAAGTACAACAGGTTTACAAGCATGTGTGGTATAAAGCTGGTGCTTCTAACATGCTTTTTCTTTCAGATTGCTTTCCCTTTCCTCAACATTTCAGTCCATGCCCTCAGGCCCTCCTCCTCCATCACATTGCTCTGAGTAATTTCTACAGAACTTTTGTTATTATCCACTTTAGGGAAGTGGAGAGCTGGGTTTTTGTGGAGGGAATACAGCATTCCTTCTAGTGGATGATGCTTCATGTCTTTGGCCAAATATTTACACAGTCAAATAAGATTTATGCTTTTGGGAACACTTAATCCTTCCCTCTGGAGGATGTAAGGCTTCTTCATTCTTATCCTCCCATAAATTTCATAGGCATTCAGTGAGGCAGAGAGAAGATGTTTATAAAGGAACTTAATTATAAAGCCCAAAGTGGCTCATTGGAAAGGAGAATAATTTTCAGAACTCCAAATAATGCATTGAATGTGGAAAGTGTAGGAAACCTGTTTGATGTGACTTAAACACCAATCTGTTAACTCCAGAGATGGACTTCAAATTAAGCATGGATAACACTGAATCCATCTGTGACTAGAGCAGGATCAAAAATTTCTGTTCTTTTTCTCCTGAATAGAAAATGTGGATGTAATGTCCTTTCTCCTTCGTTTTGAGAGAAATGTGTTTACTTTTGGACCGTGCAAATGGGCAATGTTACTAATTTCTGGAGAAATCCGTTCATAACATGTCCCACCCACCTGTCCTCCAAAGTGTTGCATGCTATTTGATGCTCAGAACAACCCTGTAAGGTAGTTCAGGTTGAGAGAAAATGAGTGGTCCACAGGAAGTCAGTAATTTTGGTTACTTTATATCTTTTTAATTTATTTGTTGCATTTATATATCACCCATCTAGCGACAAGCCACTACTCTGGGGAGTTTACAATGATTAAAACTTTCACACACCCCACCACTCTGACCAGAAATGAAGAAATCAGTCCAGCAAGAAGCTTCCAGAAGAGACAGCAAGATCAAGCTAGAATTGGAAACAACAGATCAGCAAAACATTCATATAGGGGGAAGATGTTCTTAAAGGTCTCCTTAAAAAGCTCAGTGTTAACATTTTATTTATTTAGATTTATAACTCGCCCATTTAGTGAACATGCTATTACTCTGGGTGGGCTTACAAAATATTATTAAAACCATGTAAAGGAGGGATGTTCAGCATTTAATGAGGTCTCAAACCGTTAATGGCCTTATAGGTTAGTGTGAGGGTTCGACTCTAGCCTCCGCACCTTTTTCAAATAAAACAGGAGTCGTTTTTAAAGTGAAATCCAAAGTTGGGTTTATTGTTTCATTTTAACGGTTCTCTTTGCAACTTCTCTTGTGGTGCCAACGGGCACCGTATGGGCAACCAGACATCGTATTCAAAGGGGTTTAAGGATTTAACCTCCCATGGTCTGAGTAGGAAAGGGACATAACTCGGGTTAAATTGTTCCTCTCCTTCACTTCTTAATAACGGCAGGGTCTCCTCATCACCACCCTCTCTCCAGAGCGATTCCCCCTCTCTGTCCTCCTCTTCCTCCACACGCCATGCTCTGCGTTCCTCGGCTTCTCAGGCCACTGCCTCCTTTACTTCTCTTAGTCTCTTTCTCCACTCTCGTGCCTCAGACTCCCCCCAATAGGACGGTTGTTGGGGTAGTCCCCTTCTCCGGCGATAATCTGCTTCTTCCCGGGGTACCTTTATCTTTTCCCACTTTTCCGTCCATGGGTCCTCGACCTAGATAAGTTCCTGACAGTATGCTGTCTCTCTCCCCTTTTATCTCCCCCATTCCCACCTCTATTACGGACCTCCCCCTCTCTTTCCGCCAATTCCTCTTCAGTCCTACACAGACTGAAGTTAAGCCGCATAGGTTTTCCTCCAATTCATGGGTATCCATTTCCCGAGGTATGCTCTCACGAGGGCTTGGCGGAGGGGTGGTCTGCACCTCTTTAGAGACCCTACAGACGGACAGCACTCCAACGAGAGCTTCTATACTCTCCTCTCGCCTTTCACAGTTAGTATTAACACTTTGGATTTGGCATGGAAGCAGGCAAGAACCCAGCACTTGCTTCCTGTAAAGGTGAATCAGTGTGTCATTTAAAATCGATGCAGAGTAATGACTCACGTTCCGCGATTTTAGTATCTCTAATTTTATTTGGTTCCAGTCTCAAGCTTGTGGCTCCAAAGGCCACAGCTGGGCACATGGTGGCTATTATGTCTGCTCTAGTGTACCACAAACCTGCTAGTTCAGATGTGGCAACATGAAGAGAGCAGTTGAAGATGTATTTACTTGGGCATGAGTCCCATCAGGATCCATGAGGGTTCGTTCTGGGCAAAAATGTATAAAATGGGACTGTACTGAGAAAGTAAAAGATGTCCTAAGGGTTGTCTCAACTATGTTCCTCCTGCTAATTAGGTCCTGGTTTTATTTTGGATTTTATTTTGGATTTTATTGGTCATTTCTTGACTGAAGGTATGTTAGCTAGGTTGAATGTAGGGGATCTGCTACTGCTTGAGTTAGAACTTCTCATATTGGCATTCTTTGGGCATTAAATACATTTTGGCTCCCCCCCCCCTTGAAATGCAAGAAAATACTGAAAATTGTAAATAACCGAAGCCACTCCTATCCTGTCCTTTCATTTTAGAAGCATATATTTGAACACTTGTCAATGGTTTTGCTCTTTTCTGCAATGCACAGAACAATGGGTGGAAGAGAGGAGAGACTGAAATACACACCTCATCACTCTCGGAAAAGGAATACATAAAGCTATGACTTGGTTTTGTACTGTAGCATTTTTTTAACATTGAGAAATTTATGTCATGGTCCTTGAGTTACTTAAATTGAAGAAACTAGTACTTAAAGGCAGTGTATGTTTGAAATTAGACAGAAACAGGTAGGTTTTCAGTGTACACACTTTTAGCGCATGATGCTTACTGGCAGACTAATATGTGTGCATCTGTGTGGAGTAAAGACAATACCGTGACTATGGAATTATTTTGAAATGGCCTCACAAACTACGTTTAAGGCGCAGGAGATCATACAGTGATGAAGAGTAGGCCTTGCTGAATTTGCCTCAGTAAATAAATTACATTACTAAGTCTGAAGTAGACATGGAGGCAGAGAGGAGAGGGGCAGGATCTGTTCTCGATCATCCCTGAGTGCAGAACATGCAACAATGGGCTGAAGTTACAGGAAGCCAGATTTAGGCTGAATATCAGGAAAAAAAACCTGTTAAGAATAGCACAACGATAGAACCAATAACCTTGGGAGCAGGTGGGGAGTGCTCCAATGCTGGAGGCCTTCAAGAGGAAATTGGACAACCACCTGTTAGATCTGCTTTGGTTTGGGTTCCAGGATTAAGCAGGGGATTGGACTCAGTGGCCTTCTAGGCACCTGGCAACTCTATGATTCTGTAGGCACGAATTGGCGGTTCATCTTGGTTCATCCAATAGCTGCACAGCTGCAGTTTGGCGCCTTGCCTCCCCTGGCAGGTGACCACTCTTAGGCAGCATCTGGAGGAGTTGGGGCAGGGAAGTTGAAGCATTGCCTCTGATGAGTGGGGCATCTGCCTGAGGAGGCAGGGCGCCGAACCATGGGAACAGCTATGCATTTGTCATGAACATGCCCAGTGTGAGCCCCTAAGTAGAGAAGCTTCATTTTTCAGGTGAAAAGCATTAGAGAAGAACCAAGGAGTATGTTTTCCTATAATGAAGCAACTTTGTTTTGTAATCAGCCTTTGGTTAACTTGGTGTCTTTTTTTCAGTTGAACATCATAATCAGACGCATCCCAAGGAAGTAGAATTTGGACCATGCACAGTTACATGTGGTAAGGGGGGAAAAATCTGAAAAATAGTGTAAGTTGGTGGGGGGAAGTTTCAATATTATGTTTAAGCCAGATTGTGCATGTTATTTATATTTTCCCATGGAGAGGTCCTTGAGTTACTTAAATTGGAAGAAAAAATAGTACTAAAGGCAGTTTTTCTCAGGAAGCTGTAACTGCTGCACTATTCTACATATTCCCCCAGGAAGTCAATGCACTTGTGACATCTGTCCTACAGCTTCTTAAGTCCCTGCAAATAAAATTCTTCCGACTGCTGGCGTAACCACTCATTTACAACATTAGTTGCCTCCGGAACACTCCCAAATCGTTGTCCCTTTAGGTGTTTTTTGAGTTTGGGGAACAGATAATAGTCAGAAGGAGCCAGGTCAGGAGAATAGGGTGGATGGGGCATCACTTGAAAGCCTAAGGACATCAGTTTTGCCGTTGTTTCACCTGCAGTGTGTGACGAGGCGTTGTCATGCAACAGGATGACACCTGTTCCTATGGGGCCCCAAACTCAACGTTCAGCGAAGTTCCTCCATAGCGCCGCCATTTTTGCGCCCTCGGTAAGCGAGGGCAGGGTGCGAAAATGGTTGCGGCGGCCATTTTGGGCGTCCGGCGGCCATTTTGGAACCGCCGATCAGCTGTTTAAAAAAACATTGCAATGCGAAGATCGGGAAGGGAAACGCTTACTGATCATCGCAATGCGATGTTTTGCCATTGAAAACATCGCAATGCGATCGCATTAGCGATATGAAAAAACAGATCGCTATGCGGATTCGTCGTGAAACGGTGTGCTCGTTAAGCGAGGCACCACTGTATTGTGTAACTATGACTCTTAACTAGCATTTATTAATTTTTTTGTGTGTGAAAGTTACAGCTCTTAGTATTATTACACATAAAGAACTGAGAAAACAACTGAAACAGTATTAGAAGAAACAACAGGTGTGAGAGACCTATGCTGCTCTGATGTTGTAGCCAAAACAGCCAGTTCTCAGGAACTATGGAGCTGGTAATTCTACAACATCTGGAGGACTACAGTTTTAACTCTCCTGATCTAAAATTCGCTTAAGAAAAGTGATTACACTGAAACACCGCTTAATCATCAGGCAAAATCCAAAGGAAAACAAAACAAAAACAAAGGAAAAAAGACAAAAAACCCCAAACATATGGCACCTTAAAAACTATTATATTTTACTGTGAGCTTTCCTGGATTAGATCCACTTCTTTGGAGATATGGAATAAAATGAAATACCGAATTCACAAGTAAAACATTCATTAGCTTTAAGAATCCTTGATGTATGGTTACATCTAACATGCAGTAATTTGTGGACCATGTTTGGTTTTTAGTTCTATTATAAATACTTCAACAGGAGATTGAAAACACATAAGACATAAGACATAAGACATAAGAAATTTATTTGTCATTGCGCTCACAAGTGGGTGCAACGAAATGAGGTGCTCTTCCCCAAGGTAAAACTGGACAACACCACTACAAAAAAAAGTTAAAATATACACAACTTTCACCATCCAAATATAGATACCCCGTTTTCTCTCAGCAATTAAAATTCCACCAAAAACCTATGGCCCCGCATTTCAACTCAATACTGCACTTGGGTAAAAGCTGTTCTTGAATCTGCTTGTCCTTGCTTTCAATACCCTGAATCTCCTTCCCGATGGTAATAATTTAAAGAGCTGATGTCCTGGATGAGAGGAATCTTTCAGTATGTTATATATCTTCCTCTTACATCTGTTCTTATACAATTCTTCCAAAGAGGGGAGTGAACAGCCAATGATGTTTTGGGCCGTCTTAATCACCCTTTGAATTGCCTTTTTCTCTGCCACTGTGCAGCTTGTGAACCATACACAGAGACAGTAGGATAATATGCTCTCAATCGAACTCCGATAGAAGGTGGTTAACAAACTCTCAGTCAATATGTTAAAATCATAGGTAGTCGATTTTTGCACCATTGAATATAGATAAATTGGCCATTAGAACCTGCAATTTATAGCTTCCTAGCTCAATTTTTTTCTGGGAAAAGTTAATACTTATCAGCACCCCCTGGTACATCCTTCAGTTAAGAGTGAATCTGTAGCGTTTTCCTCCACTTGAAGTTTCCAAACTGTCTTCAAAGGCAGCCCCATGTTGAATGTGTTACAGTAGTCCAAACAAGATTAATATTCTTGGTTAACTCTCTCCCCTCCCCTTTAAAAAACCTACCATTTCTACACTCTACATGTGAGTGAAAGAAATGGCCCACAGATCCATCTTTAGAAGAGGTCTGAGTTTCTCATCATATATACCTTTGTTCTTTGCAAATTTGAAACGAGACATTTTCAGCTCTGTTTTTAAAATCAGATTGGTCCATTTTTCAGCATCTCTCCCGACATTTCTCCAATTATAATACCGCTGAAAAACCATAACATAATATAGCGGTTTGTACTCCAAGGATGAGAAAATGCAGAATATTTTATCTCTCCCACCACTACCATTTCCAAACACATTAATGCAGTACTGAAATACATTTTGCTCTGTTTATCTCTAGGTCACAAAAAGATCTTTTAAAAATTCTATTACTGCGTTGTACAGTAAACTAAGCATTTATATAAATGAAACTCAAGTTATTCAGTATTTATTGGCAAGATAAATATTTTGGCAGAGGAGGAAAATGTATTATTTGCATTGAAAATAACATCAAGTCCTTAAGTGAAATGTCGATGTCTAAGATTTTAATAGCATGGAACAATCTTCGTTTTCAATGACCTCAATGCCCTGCCTGTTTACTAGGGAGTCGTGGCAGTCAAACCCGGTGCAGCTTAATTACTAAATATGAAAGAAAAGACATGTATAGGGCAGTCTCTTGTTTTCTGTCTTTGGAAAATTTAAAATTCCTGAAGTGGAGGATATCGGAGTAACATAGTAGAGTCCAAGCAGCCTCAGTGTGACGAGGTTCGTCTTTATCCGGGGGGGGGTTGGGTGGTAAAGGCGGGAAACAGGCGCGGAGGCGAGTTCGAATCTTGAGAAATAACAACTTTATTGGCATGAACACTTAATTCCACTGGATCGAACGGATCCTTCAAAACTTCATCGGTTAACAGAGTATATTTCTTAGGTTTAACAACCGGCTGACACATCTCATCCTCTACCAAGGGGCCGGGCCAAACCGCTCGCGATCCGTCAAGGGTCTTAAAGGCGCACTCCTGACGGCGCATATGGTCCCACAGCAGGGGTGGCGGGCCCAATCCCCCTCCAGGGGTTTCTGTTGGAACTCGGGACCCGGGCGGATAACTCTCCGTCCCCCACCATGGTAGCCCACCGGGAAGACCGAGACCCTCCATTCCAAGGGTTCGTAAGTCCTACCGCGACCGCTAGTTGAAGGAGGCTCAGGCAGCAGGCCTCCTCCTCCCGGTAAGCTTTGGGCACCTGGGGTTCCGTCCGCTAGGCTCTTGGCATCCTTCAGCCAATCCGTCTGCACCCCTCTCGTGGTACATCTGCCCAGCTCCCCTTCTCCCAACCAACTAAACTCCCGCGCAATTCCTCCTTCCCCTTTCACCTCCTCCCACATGATCAAATCCATCTCGGCTCCGCCCTCATCCACCAAGCACACTTCGGTAGGCCTCCTCTGTAG